GGGAAATCCCCCTGGGGGAAAGCCGCAAGGAAGCACCGGCCTTGCAAGAGCACCCACCCCCCCCCCGGCTGCTGCTGCTGCACGGGGCTGGACCTCACGGGCGACCCGAATGGCCCCCGCGGCACGCCAGCCTCGAGCGCGCGGAGCTGCCTTACCGCTGTACGTGTCTTGCTGCCTGCTGAGGTCGGGGAGCGAGCTGGGCTGTGACGGCAGTGCGACGTGGTTGTGGAGCATGCCGGGGTTGCTGGACAACCCGTCTTCGGGGTGACCTCCTCCCACCTACAGCAGAACGAGCAGAGCAAGCCTTGAGAGGGGGGAAATGTCACGGCCAGTGGGCACGGGCACCGTCCCCCCTCGCACAGCCGCGGGGCTCCGCAGAGCGGAGGGCCCCCTCGCACACCCCCACCTCCCAGGAGGGAAGAGCCGACCTCCTCCGGCCCCAGCCCCGGGAACTGTGCTGTGGGGACCCCAGCAAGCAGCTCCGTACCCCGCACACCAGCTGGGCCGAGCAGAAAGCTCCCGTCGGTGCCCTCTGCCGCGATGCAGGGCTGGCACACCAGAGAGGACACCCGCCTGGACAAGGTCCTGGGCAGCCTGCTGTAGGTGACCCTGCTTCGGCAGGAGGGCTGGGCTAGATGATCCACAGAGGTCCCTTCCAACCCCTACTATTCTGTGATTCTGTGACACCCGGCCTGGGCGGCACGTGCCCTGACTCCATCAAGCACCGTTTCTGTCACCTCCCCAGTGCCACCAGAGCAGGGGACATCCCAGCAGCATGAACTTGGATGATCTTAGACTTGATGATCTTAGAGGTCTTTTCCAACCTATCATTCTACGATGAACTTCACTCCGCATGGCCTGGACGTGAAGGGCAGGGGTCCAGCAGCCTTTCTGAGCCCGCACCCCCCAAGGCCGCACTACATCAGCCAGGGACCAGCAGGACAGAGCCCGCCCTGCTGCAAACGCTCTCGCTTCTGCAGCTGGCAGCAGCGGGCAGCGGAGCACACACGTATGGTCCGTCGCCTCGTGGCAGAGTCTGACGAGCTCGGAAGCGAAACACGTCTGGGTCGTTTGCACCGCATCCCTCTCCTGCTTCTCCCTGCATCCCCC